GCCCCCCCCCCCCCCCCCAATTTTGATCTGGGTATTTAAAGGTTTGAATAAAATGTACACATGGAGCTTTCATAACCCCAGCTGTTTCTATGTTAAAGTGTAGTGAGTAAATGAAATGTATGGACAGTGTATGTAGGTTAGCAAAAGGTGATTTTAGGTTTTAGGCCGAATATTTGTGTAATGTACAAAATTATAATAAAATTCATGAAACTGAAGTGATGTTGTCTGTTTTATGAACTAACAACTTTATTTATGATACTTTTCTTTGAAACAAAGTCATTAGTTAGAGACGAGGCCTGACGGATTCATCTGATTACTGTTTCAAATTGATTGTCTGTAAATATTCAATTTTTTTTAGTTATTACATAATGCAAATTGGTTTGAAAGCCTTCCTAATTTGAATGTAAGTATAATGAAAATGTATTAAAATTCAACGGAAAAAACAACCGTTATTTTTAACTAGAAAGACAATGTTTCTCAAGACATGTTAGCTTGACAAAAATATAATTTTAAAAGCGGGAAGGCTCCAAATGTCAGAACAACAGACAAAACATAAATAAAAATAGAAAAGCTCTGTTTTAAGGGCCAACAACTCTCCAACCAGAATACTACAAAATGGTATTTTGCAGTCACTTTTGCCAACACAAACCCGTCAAAACTATGTTCTTCTTTGTAAACTGTAACAGTAATACATGTTGCATCCGTAGGGAGGCGCAGCTGTGTCATTAATCCACGCACTATCAACAATGGTCTGCTGGTAACTATAGCAACAAGGCAAAAAGCTAGACCGCTAGTGCAAGCCTCTGCACTTATCCTTACCTCATTTATCCCCCAGTCAGTTCATAAAACTATAAAATACCATGCTGAAAATGCAGTAACGGCGTGTAGATGAAAATATGACTTATGCCGACCGACCGTATTCGATGTGTGTGAAGTTTGTTTACGTCGAACTAGCCAACTTGCTATCTTGTTCCCATATTTACCGCTGTGTTATTGTGATCCATGATGGGCAAAGATGTTGAGGAAGTCTCCGCGTCTCTAGTACGGGAATATCTCAGTCGAAAGGTAGGTGACAGATCAGTTTCATTCTAAGCGGGAAGGCTCCAAATGTCAGAACAACAGACAAAACATAAATAAAAATAGAAAAGCTCTGTTTTAAGGGCCAACAACTCTCCAACCAGAATACTACAAAATGGTATTTTGCAGTCACTTTTGCCAACACAAACCCGTCAAAACTATGTTCTTCTTTGTAAACTGTAACAGTAATACATGTTGCATCCGTAGGGAGGCGCAGCTGTGTCATTAATCCACGCACTATCAACAATGGTCTGCTGGTAACTATAGCAACAAGGCAAAAAGCTAGACCGCTAGTGCAAGCCTCTGCACTTATCCTTACCTCATTTATCCCCCAGTCAGTTCATAAAACTATAAAATACCATGCTGAAAATGCAGTAACGGCGTGTAGATGAAAATATGACTTATGCCGACCGACAGTATTCGATGTGTGTGAAGTTTGTTTACGTCGAACTAGCCAACTTGCTATCTTGTTCCCATATTTTCCGCTGTGTTATTGTGATCCATGATGGGCAAAGATGTTGAGGAAGTCTCCGCGTCTCTAGTACGGGAATATCTCAGTCGAAAGGTAGGTGACAGATCAGTTTCATTCAGTTTATTCTATTTGGAAGACTTGTAAACATGGTACACATGCTAATGTTCCTGTACCACTCAAAGCAGCATTGTAGGTGATCTTTAAACATATTTACTTAGTATGATATACACATATTGTGTGTATTAAAGGTAGATTTCTTCTGTAGATGTGTTTGTTCTCTGAGAGATTGCTCTGGTTGGATGATGAAATGTACTTTCAGGGCCTGAAGAAAACCATAGCTTGTATGGATGAAGAGCTTCCACGAACTAATTCAAGCATTAATAACAGATCAGATCTGCGTAGAATACTTCACCTTGAGGGCCTTTACAAAAAGAATAAGGTATCAAAGCGATCAACATCTGTACTTAAAATATCAAGAATGTTGAAAAAGCAGAGAGTTCATAAAATGCATTTGTGTTTAGACTGAAGAACATAGCTTGAAGACAATGTTGGAGATGATTGTGAAGGACAGAGTGAGTGAAGGTGGCAAAACCAAAGCACGCCGACATGGTGACAATCAAACCACATCCAGTTCCTCCATAGACACGACTGGTAATGTTAAGAGAGAGGAAGATTGTATGGAAACTCTGTTGTGTTACAGTCCAAGGTATTTATTTATTTTACAAAAATCCAGTGTGTTCATTTGTTTGAGACTTTCAAGATCTGTTGACCGCAATAAACATTCACCTTTTACGCAGGTTATCTGAAAGCAGTGTGTCACAAGTTATTGTGCCTTCCCAAATGCCTTCTGAAAAGCTGCACAAGAGCTTTGCTCTTCACCCTGAAAGTGAGAGAAGTATGTACTGTTTATCGTCTAGCCAGGATAGTCTCTTAACTGTATTGAAAGAAGGATTTCCCTCTGAGAAAAAGGTCGTAGACACTGACAGCCAGAAGAACAGAAGTAGCAGGATAAGACGGGGCATTATGTCAGGTCCCATTGCCAGCTCCTTGCAGGTGATGAATGTTGATTAATTAAGTTAATATTAATTTGTTTAAAAAGCTATTTGTTTAATTTATTCTGCATTATTCCTCCTTAACAGCATTGCATTGCTTAATTTTCTTTAGGAAAGTAACAGGAGGCGTCCAGCTCGAAAAGCAACGCCATCTGTTATAGCAAAACTGGAGGACTGTAAAGAAGCAGCAAACTGGACAAATGGTGTCAATACTACAAATACAAAGTCTATCCCATTAGCCCATCTTGAGAGCAGCATGCTTTCTAATTTACATACAGGAATCATAGACTGTAGTGGACATGAGAGGATGTCAGATGTCAAACATCGCTTGTAAGTTTGTTTGAATATGCCCAGTACTTAACCTGTGTCTGAGAAACCTACTCTACATATTTTACGTAAACCTTCATTTGAAAAATGTCAAAAACTTTTTATTTTTGAGGCATTAACGCAGTTATAGCAGTTCAAATTCTAGAGGTGAAAGGTGGGAATGATTCTAGGGGCCCATAGGTCCAGGGACACACACACACGTTTCTGAATTGTATATTTAAAAAGATAAGGGGCCAAAAGCAGTTTACAATTAAGGGGCCCAGAATTTCTATCCACAACCTTGAATGTAGGCATGAAATCCCTTATACATAAAACAGTATGGCTCTAAGACTATGAAATTTGGGATGGTAAAAGAGGCTGTTGGTATTAATTCTCAGCTGCAATATGTCAAGTGTGTGATTATTGACTTTTATTGTTTCCTCTCCAGAAAGAATTCGGCACCCAGCCAAAAACTGGATGGACTCCATGTGTTGGAAATGGTTTTGGGTAGTGCACCTCAAATCTTCAACAGATTACATTTTGTATCATAGCCAATACACTAGCAGCTGTTGTATTGCTTTAAAATAAATGAAGTGCTTAAATTAAATACTTGTGCAGTTGTCCACTTTTAACATTTATTTTCCCAATCCTATCAGTGCAACTAAAATTTGCTTTAAAACAATCTGTTATTCAAAATTGTATAGTATTGAAATGCCTCTCATTCTTTTTTTTATTATTATTTTACAGATGACATAGAGAATGAGGAGAGCCTGTGTGATGTTTCTAGAACAACCATGCCAGAACTTAATTTGGACAAGACTCCCATGGACCAGATGACTGCCACTGTAAGTGTATTATCATTTTAACTTCCTCAAACCATTATCTGTGATTTCAGGCCAGTCTGATATGATATCTGTGCTCTCATGTCTAACTCAGGCTCTGAAGGAGATCATCTTTGGTTCTTCTATGGCTTGTTTCACTGAGGATTGGAAACAACAGAATTGTACCTTTTCAGATACTCCCGGTTTGAAGTATGGGATTGTACAAAAGAAGGTAGTATTCAAGACAACCTCAAGATTTACTGTAGTTTTGGTGTGTAAACCTTTGCGTTATGAGATCTTCTGGGGTTGTTTCATCAGGGAGGACCGTGTGGAGTCCTTGCAGCAGTTCAAGCTTGTGTTCTACAGAAGCTTCTGTTTGAAGAATCGAGCAATGACTCATTGAAGGAGTGCGTATGAACATCAGTCATATTTTTGCTCATTTTTCTGTTGAAAGATTAGATATTATTTTTTATTATCACGTTAATATAATTTTCATAGCTCTTACTGATCTCAGATATATTTGCATTTTTATACAATATATTGTCTAAATTTTTTTTAAATGTCACCAGGAGACTGGAGGTATCAAATGTTTTAAGGACAAAATGTCTGTCTCGGGCTTTGGCTGACATACTATGGAGAGCGGGGAATATGAAGAGAGCCACAGTCGCAATGTAAGTGTCACACATTTAGAATTGTCACTTCTATTTACAAACCCATTGTTCATTTCTCAACCGTAAAGCACCTGCCCCCACAGAAACACAGGAAGAAGTCTGTTCACCACGATTGGACGCTACAAATCAGATGGTGTTCTAGAAATGGTAAGGTCATTTTTTGACCCTTAAATTGCCTTCTAATTGCTTCTTAATCTTTTTATGACTACAGATTTTTTTTCATATTCTGCATAGATAATGCACGTCACTGTGGAGACCTTAGATGATCTCACTTTAGTTCTTGAGCAGCATGTTAGACAGGTAAGTCTGCACTTAAATGCCTCATGATGACGCATCCCATATACTTGATTTCTAATACTTGTAGAATATATATTTTCAAAAAGGTATGAAAAAAATAAATTTTAAGATTCATTATGTACAATATTGTTAAATATTTATTGGTGTTATATACACAGTAAGTGTTACTATTATTGTTTATAATATTGTTATTTATAATGTTTAAATGTGTAAACAAGATTTGTATTTGAGCACATCTAGTGATAGTCTTGAAGCATTTGAAGTCATATATCACCTGTTTAATAGCTCTTAATGTGATTGATGATGGCAATTAGTAGCAATTTTCTTTCTTCCTTTTAGTTTGAGTCTGGTCCCTTTGGCTGTATTTTGCTTACCGTCTCTGCCATTCTTTCCAGAACTATTGCAATGTGAGTTTCCACCTCTTTAACTCAGTGCAGACTGTTTACTTTCATATATTCACAGAGCTAATCGATTTTGTTTTTTGTGATTTAGTATACAAAGTGATATGGATGTGCCTACTTCCACCCTCATCGGAGCTCACGGCTACTGCACACAGGTTTGCCATATTAACACTTTACAGTCCTTATCCTGATACACATATGCAAGCATTTGATTTTTCTCTTATTGGACACAGTGTTGTTTGATTTTTGTTTGAACAGCTCCAGTGTGTACAGTGCTCTGATATGATCAAGTCATTAAGTCTTATATTTTCCCTTTCATTTTTCTTAAGGAATTGGTCAATCTTTTGCTTTGTGGACAGGCCGTTTCAAATGTCTTTGATGATGAAATGAAGCTTGATTCCGGAAATGGAAATTTTACATTTCTGAAGGGAATTAAAGCACGTTGTAATATTGGGCTGCTATCTTTATTTGAACACTATAATATATGTAAGGTAATAAGGCTTCAAACACTCTAACATATACTTAGATATTATATCCAAATTTCTTATATCTAGATTCCTCTCTTTTTAAAGGTTGGATCTCACCTGAAAACTCCCAAGTTTCCAATTTGGGTAGTGTGCAGTGAGAGTCATTTCAATGTGCTTTTTTGCCCCTCTGAAGACCTGGCAACCGATCACTGCAAAGAGGAAGAGTTTGACTTGTACTATTATGATGGCCTGGCCAACCAGCAGGAACCAATTAGATTAACAGTCTGTGAGTCTCACACACACAAAACAAACACTGGTTGTATTATCCGTAGGATTTGAGAAAAACAAAATCAACACAACCTTTGCACACTTGCTTTGTAATTAGGGTTTATTATAAATCAGTATTGAAAGGCCTTGTGTATTTTGTGTCTCTGAACAGATCCACATTCTGCTGCTGGTGCTGCTCCGAATGACAACGCAGACAGTGATCTCATTTCTCCACTGGAGCTTTGCATCAGGACGAAGTAATTCTTTTATTTAATCAGTGCTTAGAAGTGTATCTCTCTTGCTTATTAGAATGTTTTCTCTAACATGTAATTTTGATATTGGGAAATACAAACATGTGGTGATATTAATGCTTCAAATATGTCTTACAGATGGAGAAATGCAGTGGTCAGCTGGAATAATACAGATCCCATTCTTTGATAATTCACGTAAAGGAGATTTTTATTTGACCCCATATGATTTTATCTGGTCTTAAACAAATTTCAAGTAGGTTTTATATTTAAATAGGTTTAGTATTTATTTTGTCTTTTATGATTGCTGCCATTCTCAATATTTATAGTATTTTCATCAGTCTGCTGCCCCTCTTGCTTGTTTTATACTTTATATTTATTGACAGTATGGCATTAGGAACTGTTATGCTTTGACAGACTTTTTAAAAACGTTTTTTACTTTATTCAAATCATGATTAAATTATCAGACAGAATGACTTGTGATGTGTAAATAATTGGCATTGTTCACTCTCTAGTAATTAAAGGATTAGTTCACTCAAAAATTTTAATTCTGTCATTGTTTACTCACCCTCATACCGTTCCAAACCTATCTAAATGACTTTTTCTTCTGAGGAACACAAAAGAAGATATTTTGAAGAATGTTGGTAACCAATTTGCCTGGCCATTACATTGTGGACAAAAATCAGACATTTCTGAAAATGTCGTCTTGTATGTTCCACTGAAGAAATTCATATGGTTTTTGGAATGGCATGAGGGTGAGTGAATTTTAAATTTTTGGTTAACTATCCCTTTTACTGTGTGCAAGAAAAAGATTTCTAACGAGGATATACAGTGTCATTTTATGCAAAGAATGCTTTTGTTGCAGTCTGTCCCAAAAGGAGAACCCTTGCATGGTGGAGACTCTTTGGCTTACTAAAATGTCACAAGAAATGCATTTCAAATATTAAATCTTCTTTGAACTGGATCAATGAGTTATGCCAGAGCTCTCTTCATTCTGCTTATGGCATTAGAGGACAGTTTACTCTCTATGATTGTTCATTTATTATTTCTGGTGTAGTATTTCTGTCCTAGTAATGTTATCATCATATGACTATAATTAGTCATTGTAATTTAGAAGTATAATTTTTAATTAGTAGTGACATAGTATTATAAACATGCTTTATGTAGAAAAGCAACTGACTTCAAATGTTACAATTCTATGAAATAATCACAGCCCCATAGCAGCAAACTGAACTAAGCAATACTAATTTGTGCACATGTAAAAGAACAAAGTGTAGAACATTAATAGCATAAGTTGATCAACACTATAACCCCTTTACAAGATGTTTGCTTGATCATTAATCATATTTTGTCAATACACAAACAGTCTTCGTGATACAACACAGAAGGTTTAACTGCAAACCTGCAAAAACAGATTGAAGCAGTTGATGACTCACAAAATGTGTTCATATGGCACGCATAACTGAGCACATAACGTTCACCTCTGCCACCAAAATAGGGCTGAATAGCCATGCATTTTGGGTAGTAGTTTTGGTTGAACCTTACACATCAGTGATCACTCAAGGTCTCATAGTTGGCTAATAGTCAACAACTGCAGCTGAGGTTAGAGCTTGAACTAAGAGCTGATTATGTGAGTTTTGATGCTATATTGCACGTATGCCTGGAATTTGAGATAAGCTTACAGCATAGTGGAATTCTTAGACCGATAACACCAATGTAAACACAAATATTGCATTGTTTTTCCACCAATCAAGTGTTTATTGTAACACAAACATTCCAGATCTTATAAACAGACATGCATTTTAAAGGAAGTATTGCCTGGCAAAAGTATATCATACTTTCACAACATCTGACTCGCTAAGTAACTCATTCACTTTGATCTGTCTTTTTCCTTCCACACAGTTAAATTGCATCACTCCACGCAACCATATCGCTGTGCTGTGGAACTTTCAACTAGATTCCATCCCGCAGCTGAAAGTGCAAATATATTTTCTCTGTGTGTGTGTGTGTGTGTGTGTGTGTCACAGTACTCAAACTTTTAAATGTCACCAGGAGACTGGAGGTATCAAATGTTTTAAGGACAAAATGTCTGTCTCGGGCTTTGGCTGACATACTATGGAGAGCGGGGAATATGAAGAGAGCCACAGTCGCAATGTAAGTGTCACACATTTAGAATTGTCACTTCTATTTACAAACCCATTGTTCATTTCTCAACCGTAAAGCACCTGCCCCCACAGAAACACAGGAAGAAGTCTGTTCACCACGATTGGACGCTACAAATCAGATGGTGTTCTAGAAATGGTAAGGTCATTTTTTGACCCTTAAATTGCCTTCTAATTGCTTCTTAATCTTTTGATGACTACTACATATTTCTCTTTTGTTAATAGATTTTTTTTCATATTCCACATAGATAACATGTGTCACTATGGAGACCTTAGATGATCTCACTTCAGTTCTTGAGCAGCATATTAGACAGGTAAGTCTGCACTTAAATGGCACATCCCCTATACTTGATTTCTATTCTTGTAGAATATATATTTTCAAAAAGGTATGAAAAAAATAAATTTTAAGATTCATTATGTACAATATTGTTAAATATTTATTGGTGTTATATACACAGTAAGTGTTACTATTATTGTTTATAATATTGTTATTTATAATGTTTAAATGTGTAAACAAGATTTGTATTTGAGCACATCTAGTGATAGTCTTGAAGCATTTGAAGTCATATATCACCTGTTTAATAGCTCTTAATGTGATTGATGATGGCAATTAGTAGCAATTTTCTTTCTTCCTTTTAGTTTGAGTCTGGTCCCTTTGGCTGTATTTTGCTTACCGTCTCTGCCATTCTTTCCAGAACTATTGCAATGTGAGTTTCCACCTCTTTAACTCAGTGCAGACTGTTTACTTTCATATATTCACAGAGCTAATCGATTTTGTTTTTTGTGATTTAGTATACAAAGTGATATGGATGTGCCTACTTCCACCCTCATCGGAGCTCACGGCTACTGCACACAGGTTTGCCATATTAACACTTTACAGTCCTTATCCTGATACACATATGCAAGCATTTGATTTTTCTCTTATTGGACACAGTGTTGTTTGATTTTTGTTTGAACAGCTCCAGTGTGTACAGTGCTCTGATATGATCAAGTCATTAAGTCTTATATTTTCCCTTTCATTTTTCTTAAGGAATTGGTCAATCTTTTGCTTTGTGGACAGGCCGTTTCAAATGTCTTTGATGATGAAATGAAGCTTGATTCCGGAAATGGAAATTTTACATTTCTGAAGGGAATTAAAGCACGTTGTAATATTGGGCTGCTATCTTTATTTGAACACTATAATATATGTAAGGTAATAAGGCTTCAAACACTCTAACATATACTTAGATATTATATCCAAATTTCTTATATCTAGATTCCTCTCTTTTTAAAGGTTGGATCTCACCTGAAAACTCCCAAGTTTCCAATTTGGGTAGTGTGCAGTGAGAGTCATTTCAATGTGCTTTTTTGCCCCTCTGAAGACCTGGCAACCGATCACTGCAAAGAGGAAGAGTTTGACTTGTACTATTATGATGGCCTGGCCAACCAGCAGGAACCAATTAGATTAACAGTCTGTGAGTCTCACACACACAAAACAAACACTGGTTGTATTATCCGTAGGATTTGAGAAAAACAAAATCAACACAACCTTTGCACACTTGCTTTGTAATTAGGGTTTATTATAAATCAGTATTGAAAGGCCTTGTGTATTTTGTGTCTCTGAACAGATCCACATTCTGCTGCTGGTGCTGCTCCGAATGACAACGCAGACAGTGATCTCATTTCTCCACTGGAGCTTTGCATCAGGACGAAGTAATTCTTTTATTTAATCAGTGCTTAGAAGTGTATCTCTCTTGCTTATTAGAATGTTTTCTCTAACATGTAATTTTGATATTGGGAAATACAAACATGTGGTGATATTAATGCTTCAAATATGTCTTACAGATGGAGAAATGCAGTGGTCAGCTGGAATAATACAGATCCCATTCTTTGATAATTCACGTAAAGGAGATTTTTATTTGACCCCATATGATTTTATCTGGTCTTAAACAAATTTCAAGTAGGTTTTATATTTAAATAGGTTTAGTATTTATTTTGTCTTTTATGATTGCTGCCATTCTCAATATTTATAGTATTTTCATCAGTCTGCTGCCCCTCTTGCTTGTTTTATACTTTATATTTATTGACAGTATGGCATTAGGAACTGTTATGCTTTGACAGACTTTTTAAAAACGTTTTTTACTTTATTCAAATCATGATTAAATTATCAGACAGAATGACTTGTGATGTGTAAATAATTGGCATTGTTCACTCTCTAGTAATTAAAGGATTAGTTCACTCAAAAATTTTAATTCTGTCATTGTTTACTCACCCTCATACCGTTCCAAACCTATCTAAATGACTTTTTCTTCTGAGGAACACAAAAGAAGATATTTTGAAGAATGTTGGTAACCAATTTGCCTGGCCATTACATTGTGGACAAAAATCAGACATTTCTGAAAATGTCGTCTTGTATGTTCCACTGAAGAAATTCATATGGTTTTTGGAATGGCATGAGGGTGAGTGAATTTTAAATTTTTGGTTAACTATCCCTTTTACTGTGTGCAAGAAAAAGATTTCTAACGAGGATATACAGTGTCATTTTATGCAAAGAATGCTTTTGTTGCAGTCTGTCCCAAAAGGAGAACCCTTGCATGGTGGAGACTCTTTGGCTTACTAAAATGTCACAAGAAATGCATTTCAAATATTAAATCTTCTTTGAACTGGATCAATGAGTTATGCCAGAGCTCTCTTCATTCTGCTTATGGCATTAGAGGACAGTTTACTCTCTATGATTGTTCATTTATTATTTCTGGTGTAGTATTTCTGTCCTAGTAATGTTATCATCATATGACTATAATTAGTCATTGTAATTTAGAAGTATAATTTTTAATTAGTAGTGACATAGTATTATAAACATGCTTTATGTAGAAAAGCAACTGACTTCAAATGTTACAATTCTATGAAATAATCACAGCCCCATAGCAGCAAACTGAACTAAGCAATACTAATTTGTGCACATGTAAAAGAACAAAGTGTAGAACATTAATAGCATAAGTTGATCAACACTATAACCCCTTTACAAGATGTTTGCTTGATCATTAATCATATTTTGTCAATACACAAACAGTCTTCGTGATACAACACAGAAGGTTTAACTGCAAACCTGCAAAAACAGATTGAAGCAGTTGATGACTCACAAAATGTGTTCATATGGCACGCATAACTGAGCACATAACGTTCACCTCTGCCACCAAAATAGGGCTGAATAGCCATGCATTTTGGGTAGTAGTTTTGGTTGAACCTTACACATCAGTGATCACTCAAGGTCTCATAGTTGGCTAATAGTCAACAACTGCAGCTGAGGTTAGAGCTTGAACTAAGAGCTGATTATGTGAGTTTTGATGCTATATTGCACGTATGCCTGGAATTTGAGATAAGCTTACAGCATAGTGGAATTCTTAGACCGATAACACCAATGTAAACACAAATATTGCATTGTTTTTCCACCAATCAAGTGTTTATTGTAACACAAACATTCCAGATCTTATAAACAGACATGCATTTTAAAGGAAGTATTGCCTGGCAAAAGTATATCATACTTTCACAACATCTGACTCGCTAAGTAACTCATTCACTTTGATCTGTCTTTTTCCTTCCACACAGTTAAATTGCATCACTCCATGCAACCATATCGCTGTGCTGTGGAACTTTCAACTAGATTCCATCCCGCAGCTGAAAGTGCAAATATATTTTCTCTGTGTGTGTGTGTGTGTGTGTGTGTGTCACAGTACTCAAACTGTCTTCAAGGTGCCTCTGTTGTGTCATGAATCCAATTTCAATCACAAATGTTTGAATGGAAAGTAAAAGCACTTTGTCTGAAAATAATTAGAATCAGAAGTGATTGGTTTGACAATGACAGTTCCTGTTCACTTTCTTTTCTCTACACTTTTTTTTTTGCGCTCAACTGCAACATAGCAATGTTCATAATCCGTACAGAATGACATCTCAGACAATGGTCCTGATGTTATCATATGTTATTCTCCTATCCATGGCTCCCAATCATTTTATAAGGGCCATCTGGTGTTTTATTTTTAGGCCCATGATAATGGAACAATTTCCACCCACACATGGTAATGCCATAAATATAGAAAGTATCGGTCGTTAACCCACCATGGGGATATATTACTCAACTGGCATCATTTAAAAGTGGTAAGGAATCTAGTTAGCTGTTCTGACGTTGCTTCCTGTCAATGGTAGACTCAATATTATGTGTTCTGCTTTTATCAGTTGTAATCATTTAAGAGCTTTTTATGCTCTATGTACATTTCATTATTTGAATTTCCTTTTTGAGAGGGCATATATACCAACCTTATGTTTAATGCGAAAGTGAGGTGCGGGCATTTGTAAGTTGAATGAGCACGAGACTTCCGGTGTCATCAGTTTCGAGTTATTTAGAACATTGATTTTGAAACTTGTGAATCCTTTAGAATCGTTAGAAGACAGAATCGCGATTCATATATGAATAGATTTTTATGTGCACCCATTGTACTGTAGTTACTAATGTGGTTCGGGTTGAATTAATCACTGTGGTACGTCTGGTCAAAACGCAGCAAAGATGCTTCTTGATTCACAGAAGATTTATTCCACTAGCATGTACAAACATGTGGGTGTTTGTGTGGTTCTACTAGACAAGTAGAAACAATTGTATATATCAGTACTTAATATTCACCATAGCATAACAATTCAACAATCAATAGCTAAAGTTAACAATATTAATAGTTAGAAAGACATTAGAACACATCCAGAAATAATATATTTCACTTTCAATACCTTATTTATAAGTTATTCAACTTTGGTCAGACCGGAAATCGAAACTTACTTTTAGATGCATGCACACGATTAAACACCACTAGAAATGAGGAAAACTCTGTGCACTCCACACTCTACTGATTTATACCAACAACTGATGATTCTTATGACGCACTTTACAGCACATTCTAGCATACTCCGTAATTCCTCAAGGGGACAGTAACAGTCCACACTCATTGAATAGTCCAACACATACCAATATAGCTGTATTACCTAAGAGTGTCTGAATACAGAGACCTTTGCAACACCCATAGTTTTCTCTTCCTCTTCTATAAAGCAGCACAGCATGGACTCGCCCCCTTTGCTGCCTTTCCCTGAGGGCGGGGTTTATCTGGGTTTGTGATGTCACAAACCCGGGAAGTAACTCGTTGAAGTCCCTACGAGCCGTTTTTTTAGGCATTAAACCGCCAGAATTTTATAAGATATCTCCGTTTGCGTTGAACTTTCAGCTTGGTAACTTTGCAGATATTGTTTATGCTCAAACAGCAACATTACACACTAACTAACGTTAAAAAAGTGAAATCACAATCAACCACCCCTTTAAAAACTACCTAAAGCACTGAAAATGTAGCATTTGTAAATGTCCCCAGTGTCTAACCATACATTTTAACATGAAATATAATGTTTAAAATCCTTCAGAAATCATTTTTATTTTGCATTTTTGTGTACCTCCATATCCAATCTGTGCTTTAAATACATTTATTTCAAAATAATTTTATAATAATTTGGATAAAATACACATTTTAGTCATGTCCCCAGGTTTCACTCAGTCCTGTTACCCTAACACGTTCCCCCCTCTGAAAAACTGGGAAAATTTGTTTTCGTGACTGAAGCTTCCACAGTGTAACAGAATGACAGTGACAGAACAAAGAACACAGATAATAAAAAATAGAACAAGTAAATAAGGAATAAAAATATATAAATCAACAATTGTATGTGCAGGACACTCATATATTCACAATGAGTGTCCCACTTCAGGTCCTGAGAGATTGTGGTGCCCAGGAACCTGAATGACTCCACTGCAGTCACAGTGCTGTCCATGATGGTGAGTGGGGGGAGTGCAGGGGGGTTCCTCCTGAAGTCCACGGTCATCTCCACTGTTTTGAGCGTGTTGAGCTCCAAGTTGTTGAGACTGCACCAGACAGCCAGCTGCTCGACCTCCTGTCTGTAAGCAGACTCGTCACCGTCCTGAATGAGGCCGATGAGTGTGGTGTCGTCTGCAAACTTCAGGAGCTTGACAGAGGGGTCTTTAGATGTGCAGTCGTTGGTGTAGAGGGAGAAGAGCAGTGGAGAGAGAACACAACCCTGAGGAGCTCCAGTGCTGATTATACGGGTGCTGGATGTGTATTTTCCCAGCCTCACTAGCTGCTGCCTGTCTGTCAGGAAGCTGTTGATCCACTGACAGACGGAGGTGGGCACGGAGAGCTGAGTTAGTTTGGGCAGGAGGAGGTTTGGGATGATAGTGTTAAAGGCCGAGCTGAAGTCCACGAACAGGATCCTCACATAAGTCCCTGGTCTGTCTAGATGTTGCAGAACATAATGCAGTCCCATGTTGACTGCATCGTCCACAGACCTGTTTGCTCTGTAGGCAAACTGAAGAGGATACAGCAAGGGTCCAGTGATGTCCTTCAGGTGGGCCAGCACCAGTTTTTCAAAAGACTTCCTGACCCCAGACGTTAGAGCCACAGGTCATATACTCATCCTATACTTATATATAGTAACAAAAAAGGTAACGGGAGTGAGTAATGTCACCAGATTTATTAATGTAAATTTTAGGCTACATGAGCTTGACAGAGGGGTCTTTAGATGTGCAGTCGTTGGTGTACAGGGAGAAGAGCAGTGGGGAGAGAACGTAGCCCTGAGGAGCTCCAGTGCTGATCGTACGGGTGCTGGATGTGTATTTTACCAGCCTCACTAGCTGCTGCCTGTCTGTCAGGAAGCTGTTGATCCACTGACAGACGGAGGTGGGCACGGAGAGCTGAGTTAGTTTGGGCAGGAGGAGGTTTGGGATGATAGTGTTAAAGGCCGAGCTGAAGTCCACGAACAGGATCCTCACATAAGTCCCTGGTCTGTCTAGATGTTGCAGAACATAATGCAGTCCCATGTTGACTGCATCGTCCACAGACCTGTTTGCTCTGTAGGCAAACTGAAGAGGATACAGCAAGGGTCCAGTGATGTCCTTCAGGTGGGCCAGCACCAGTTTTTCAAAAGACTTCCTGACCACAGACGTTAGAGCCACAGGTCATATACTCATCCTATACTTATATATAGTAACAAAAAAAGTAACGGGAGTGAGTAATGTCACCAGATTTATTAATGTAAATTTTAGGCTACATCCATATTAATCTAGATAAATTTGAAAATGCATCTTTTTCAACGTTTTGGCTTTCTATCCACACTGAGACAATGCATTTCCCCAGAGAAAAGCTATGGTTGTTTCTGCATTGTTGTTTTATATTACATTCCTGCAA